AGTGCGAGGATTGTGATTTTCTAGCAGAAATTATGATTTAAAAATGCAAACACTGGCAGTATTGTGAGGCATCTTTAAAATGATCAGAGCCTGAAAATTAAAATCATTACGTATTAAAAATAACACATTCTAATATTATTAAATGTAATTTGAACAAATGTTATTTCAGACGTGTATTAATTTGGTAGCCCTTCACACAATCAGGACACATGAAGTAGCTCTCACTCTCAAAAAGGTTGGTGACCCCTGATTTGGAGTGTTGAATCAGCCTGCCGCGCATGTTTTTGGAATGTGGGAGGAAACCAGAGTACCCGGAGAAAACCCACGCAGGCATGGGGAGAACATGCAAACCCCAAACAGGAAGGAGCTGGGATCAAACCCACGACCTCTGCACTGTGAGGTCGACGCGCTAACCACTCATCCACCGGGCCGCTCATGCCTTACATATCTTTTTTTAATTAATCAGCCGATTGATTGGTCATCTCTAATTTTTTCAACCTAAAAAAAACCCAGATAGGTCAGGTCTGAGTATCATTCTTTAGATTTTGTAAATATCAGCTCTTTGGGAGTATGCTAGGGCCTAACATTCAGATGTATGATATTGCTTCCTACATGAACGTACCTGCTATTTCCACTCCATACACGTTGATTTCTTGGATAAAATCAACTGACCCAAGGGTTTCTGCCACATCTGTTGTGGCTACATTTTCACCTTTCCACCTGAATTCAGGAAACAAAAAATTAACCATAGTTAATAATATTGCTACTAAACCATAATGATTCCTAAAATACAATTTTACACACAATATCCGAAAGTAACATTTACAAAAACACTTCCATATCCTATGCACACCGCCCTTTTGACATGGGTTCGAGGAGGACAGGGGTTCGAGACCCACCCAGGACAATGGTGCAAAAACTATCTGCGGTGTGGCATCTTCCTCATCACCTCACCTCAGGTGTTGCAGCACTCGTTCCACACCTCTGTCACTTTGAATCTCTCCTTGCATGCCTGCATGCGTGTGATCTGGTTCTATGTTGGGTGTGCAAAACAAAGTCGGCCGAAACGTCAGAGTTTGAGTTGAATTTCCCCTCGAGGAGCACCAAAGACCAAAAAAAAAAAAAAAAAAAAAAAACCTGATTCAGAGTATCCTTGAGATGTTTCTATACCTTGATCTATTACATAGTCTGTTACGGCAAGTTTCATATAGTTAATAATAACAAACAAAAACAAAACTAAAACCAAAATAAAAGAAAAAAAACAAACAAAACCAAAAAAAAAAACATTTTCGATGTGAGTGTCACAAAAACTGATTTCAACCAGAAATTGTTGATTTAAAAGCCGCGAGTGCCTCAAATTGAACCGAATCTGTCGTGATCCTGTTCTTGTGTTTCTCCAGCAGGTGGCAGCGGGGGGGGGGGGGGCTTCTCTTCCAGCATGCACACCTGCTGCCAATTCAATCATCATGATTAAGCCAGGTATTTAAGCACTTCCAACTCCCCCACTCCCATGTCTCTTGTTGGATTATTGAGCTTGCAATTTGCTGAAGAGATATTTTCTAGAAGCCACGTTAATGTTCATAGTTGCTCTTGCTTTGATAGTTTTTTTTGTGTTGTAAGTATTTGGGATCTTGTAATGATTGGATGATTTATGTTTTATGTCATTGGACTTTTGCCATTTCGTTTTGGGAATTTGTCGGGATTCAAGATTACCTTGCCATTAGCAAGTGATACTTCTTGGCTTTTCCTGGTTTTGTGTAACCAGCGCTTTCTGTTTGCACTTTGTCGGTCCTTCGTTTTTGGGAAATAAATATTTTTTGTTCCGTCGTTTGTCTGAGTTTACGTTTGTGGGATTTGCTGGTCCATTTACGGATGATGTCAGAATCAAATCGTCTCGAATCGTCTTTTATAGGAAGTAGTACTGTCAAGTTCACTCCAGTGTATGCAAAATGGCAACAAAAAAGTCCGTGCTTCATACCCTCATGAAATAAACCACACCATATCAAATTGAGTTTTAATCCCACCGAGTCAGACCGAATCTAGTTGTTCGACTTTCAAATAGAACTGTCCTTGAATCGTTTGGCACGCCACTTTTGAAAAACTACATTGAATCTTTTGCGGAGAAAATCACACCCCTTAATTTTGTAACTGAAACAGAAAACCTGACCCCAATGAAGTTGGGATGTCATGTTAAACAGAATGCAATGATTCACAAATCATGTCCAACCTTTATTTAATTGAATACACTACAAAGACAAGATATTTAATGTTCAAACTGATAACTTTTATTGTTTGAGCAAGGAATCATTAACTTAGAATTTTCTGTAACACAATCCAAGAAAGATGGGATGTATATTGAACATTGATCATATCAGCTTTGTGTTTATTTGCACTATTTGGAATCGGAGAGTGCAGAAAATTAAATAATCTTTGCTTTTTACTTTTTAAATCAGTTTGGCTCTCTGTATGTTATTTGTTTCATTTATTTCTTCATATTAATGTTATTTGTTAAATTGAGTAGGTTTACACGAAAATGCAAAATTTGTATGAAAAAAAGCAGAGAGTAGAATAAATCTGATACATTTGGCCTCTATTTACTTCTCACCGACTCAATACTTCCATTGTAGTTTTTATATTGAAGTTCAAATCACAATACCGTTACTGTGAAGGCATTCCATTTATATGAAATTTAGGTAATATGCTGGAGCTGCAGAAAAAAGCGCAATTCAACCTTTTCCTAAAATTGTTCAGATCTAACAGGTGCTAACTCTATATGAATAAAATTCTGAACCCATTTTAATTTTTTTTTGGAAAATCCAACCGCAAATAAATTTATTATGACAAAATGTAGTCATCTATTCAATTTTTACAGTTGTGAATGTGTCACCTTGAATCCAGGAAAATAATCTATTTTTAAAGCATCTTAATCCTTAAGGATTCTCGAAGTGAAAATCCTCTTAAAGTGGGGGGTTGGGGGGGGACTTTGAAGAGGAAAAGGACACAGGAGTTGAAGCATAGGATAAAAAGCCCCAAAGACACAGAATAAGAATAAACAAAGAGACATCCATACAACGGATGACAGTGAGTTAGTTATCGTTTATATTACAAGTAGAATACAAATGGTTTGTTGAAGTGCAGCTATGGTGAGGGATACTTTGAATCATTTTTCATCAACCACTTTTATAATCATTTGGATCTGGGGTCCAGGCGGCACGGTGGGTTCCATTCTGGGCTCTGACCTTCCTGTGTGGAGTTTGTATGTTCACCCCGTGCCTGCATGTGTTTTATCCGGGTATTCCGGTTTCCTCCCACATTCCAAAAACATGCCTGGCAGGTTAATGGCACTCTAAATTGTCCTTAGGTGTAAGTATGAGCGCGGATGGTTGTTCGTCTCTGTGTGCCCTGCGATTGGCTGGCAACCGGTTCAGGGTGTCCCCCGACTACTGTCTGAAGACAGCTGGGATAGGCTCCAGCATGCCCGCGACCCCTTGTGAGGATAAGCGGATCAGATAACGGAGGGATGGATGGATGGACTACTGCAGCCATGAATTTCTAATTCTACTTGGTATTTTGGCCTCATGGTGATCTTGAGACGTCTTTTGGCAATTCTTTTTCTCGATTTGCGCAGATGATGTTCTTTCTAGCTTTATTCTTATCAAACACTTGAATGTAAAAAAGGAACTCTCTTGCCATCGGAGTGGGAAATAGAACTGGAAACGTAGTGGTCACTATTCTTTGCATGTTGGTTGCATTCGGAAATTCAATCTGACAACCTAACACTACTCTTGAGTGTGACTGTGATTTGTTCTCAAATCCCAGATCAGTCCACAATCCTCGCATCTTGCTGATGTAGCTTCCATCTTGTCTTGCCTGACGCTCCAGCACCAATTCTTCATTCTCGTTGTGTATTGACTGACAGACGTGTTCTTCTTTACTTGTATAATCGTGGACAGCTAAAAATAAAACCCAAGACAATCTATGTGACGATGGAGAGTTACTGCACTCGCTTGTTTTTATTTTTTTTTATTTTGTTTTTTTACTTCAAACTGGATGGTTTTACACATTTTACGAAAATGATTGATACTGTACGTCAGTAACTCCCTCGCTCCCTTTTTGTTGAAGACAGCAACAACACTACTTTTACAGTACATTTATTGTTCCTTTTTCACTGTCATCTTCCAGAGGTGCAGCCTCAGAATAATGTTTAATAATGTTCACTAAACTAATTTAGTGGCAAAAATAATATTAATTACGCTAATCACCATAGCATTATTATTGTTAATACAATACTAGTCTGTTACAAGCCTTCTTTACCTTTCCTTCCCAAATCCCATTATTTTATTTCGCCTTTTCTCTCAGTCCAACCGGTTGACTGTTGCGTAAAATAATTGGGAACTCTGTACTCTGATTGATTAAAAAGGATACTGTTGTCATTCTTGTGTATTACTTTAATAAAGAAAAGAAAGTCATAATTGTTGATGAAAAATTTTCAAAAATTTTCATTTGACCATTAATGTCTTGTTCTGTCTTGGGTTGTTTTTCAGCTCCAGTTGCAGTGAGGGGCGTTTCCCTCCAGCAGGCACACCTGTGCCACGTTTCCCCATCAAGCCTTGCTGTGTATTTAAAGACTGCTGAGCTGCCTGGTCATCCATCCATCCAGCCTATCTCAGCTGTCTTCGGGCAGCAGGCGGGGGACACCCTGAACCGGTTGCCCGCCAATCGCAGGGCACACACAAAGACTAACAACCATCCACGCTCACACTCACTGAGTACCGGAAGAAAACCCACGCAAGCACGGGGAGAACATGCAAACTCCACACAGGAAGGCCGGAGCTGGAATCGAAGCCAGTACCTCTGCACTGTGAGGTCGGCGCGCTAACCACTGGACCACCGGGCCGCCGCTGCCTGGTCATTGTCTGATTATTGACCTTGCTCGCTGTTGTGCTTTTAGTGTTGTTGCATTTTAGACCTTGTGATACCTTTCATAGTCACTCATCATACACCTCTATATGTATTTTCATTATTCCTTTGTTTGATCTTGATCCTTGGTTTAGCGTTATTTGACTTTTGATATTTCGTTTGTGTATTGTCTGTGTTCTATTGTATATTTCCTTTGCAAGTGCTTTTTGTTTATACATTGTGTTTCCTGGGTCCTTGTGACCAGTGATTTCAGTTTGTACTTTGTCAGTGCGATTTTTTGTCGGACATATTTTTGTTACCGCGCTTTGTCTGAGCTTGCATTTTTGGAATCCAAAAACATGATTCGATTCGGTCCTGAACCTAATAATGAAATCAAATCATACACAACTGTACCTGAAGGTGTCTCCTACTCTGTCTTTGAAAGAGATGAAGCCTTCGTTGTCTTCAGCCATCAGATCGCCTGTGTTAAAGTAGGCATCTCCCTTGACAAACACGTTCCTTATCAGCTTCTTTTCGGTCAGCTGCTTGCTTCCAGCGTAGCCAAAGAATGGGGTCAGGGCACTTACTTTAGATAGTAAAAGCCCTGTCTCGCCTGAGAAAGGAAAGATCAGTTGTAAGGCACTTAAGTTGAAAGCGACTTCAGTGAATGGAAATCTTACCCTTTTTCACTCGCTGACAGAAACCGTATTGATCTTTCATTGGCTCCTCTTTCATCATGTCATACTTCACCAGATCGTATTTCAGCAGGAGCTACACAAAACACAACAGTTTTTCATTAGACAGTGATATTCAGGAAGAAGTCATGATCTGGTTTGTTTATTTTTTGGTTTAACATAACATTGGTATAGATCATTTCAGTTTCCAGTGTTGTCATTTAGCTTTGCTCTGTTTTCATGGTTCTTTTCTGTCTGCTATTTATCATCCTTTACTTTCCACCTGTTTCGTCAGGCCTGCTACCCTTGTCTGAAACAATTAGTTCCCTCCAGCTGTTCTTATCTTGTCCCGGTGTGCCTCGTTGTCTCTTTAGATCTGTTTGCATTTCGTTTGCTTAACCCTTTCTCAGACCCTTGTACAATATTGCGTGTCCTGCCATGTGTGGTGGTCAGTTTGTTGCCCAGAATTCTTTGCTACTTGTAACTACTTTTTGAGAGTCCATGTTACTCCTACCTATTTGCCTGCTTCCTAGCAATCAGGTCTACCTGGCTTTTTGCCACCACAATGAACTCTCAAATATGAATGGTCAGCGAATGCCATCAGCTTGCCGGTGAAGCCAACCCACAGCCACTACGCGTTGTCATTGTTTCCTCTCTGTCCTTCGCCCCCACCCCCTTCTGCTAGTTTGTCTCTTGGCCCTTCCCTGTTACCTACCCACATTTTAATAGATTTTAATGGTTCTTTAATTTAACGTTGACAGCCCCGAACTTTAGAACCTCTCAGCTGACACCAACTCTGATTCCAATTTTGATATCACTGGTTCCTCCCAGTTCGGTTTGTCTTGCTCTTATCTTTTTTGTAAAATGCTCCAGATTCAGACCCCAATGCACTTGTATATTCTTTTGATGATTCCTTCATCTCTGACCTTTTGCCTGGGTACCAGTTTGACGATATACTAAATCAATTTGCTTTCACAAGAACAGTCATCCTCAACTCTTTTATTCTATTCGAAAACTAATTGCCTCCTAAAGCAGTGACAAGTTTGTCTGTTTATGATAT